TATTGTAGATCTCACATATACAACAACACCATCGTTTTGGTTTAAATGATTGTTACTTATTGAAGGACTCAAGCTTCACTTGGAGAATAACAATTCTATTGATCGTAGAATTACGTTCTGATTAATCTTTTTTGTTACTATCCCAAAATGACGGTAAAACTGTCACTAAATTTAAAGGCGTTGTTTATAAAAATAAAGATTTCACGTACCTTAGAATTTCGATGAATACCGTTCTTAAACAAAAAAATACACTATTTCGCGTAGATTTCACATACTAATCACGCCGTTCATGGCACTAATGAAAATATGTCAATGTTGCTGTCAAAGACTGTACCAACCCACACCAAGCTACATCACGACACTAGTCACAACCACCAGTTCCAATAATGCTATAACTATGAGAGTTTTTGCAAATATAATTTAGGCTGTGTCACTAGATGAGAGTGATAACTAAATTTTGCCAAATTTCGTATAGTGACGGTTTGATTCTTAGTGTGCGATAAGTATTGTAACTTGGAATGAACAGTTTTGTGACTAAATTAAAAATACGAGTTTATCTACTTTCCATAAATATTCTTATTGAAGAACATCAAAGGAATTTTAAGAACCTTTATAGGGCCCTCCCGATCTCACGATATTACAATAACAATAATTTTAATTTATCAGTTATAACTCAAATGAATTCATAATAAATTATTTTACAAAAAAATAATAACTATGCTTTAAACTCGTAACTCTCAGAATCGACTTGTAAACTTGTAGAAAGCTTATTTATTATCCCTTTCAATTTTGCAATCGTATTTTGCATTTTTAAAAGTGTCAATATTATACTGTCTAATAATAAAGTATTTTTATATTGTACTAGGTAATAGTTTAATGATCTGATTAAAACAATTTAATCAAATAAACAAATTAATAACATATTTTACATAAATTGTATTTATTTTAATATATACTAGTTAATTTTACTAATAAATTACAGAAACAGGCAGAGAACGAGCAAATTTATACAAATGAAGTAAATAAACTTTTAATTAATTTAACCTGTCTCTGACCGTTTCCGGTGGTAAGGTACCCATCACACTTGCTACATTGCCGCGTTGAATGGGAATGGCCAACGTTTGCACTAGGAACGAACCGGAGCGGGCGTTCTGTGAGTGTTCGACTATGCTTAAAATATATTTTATTAAGAAATAAAGCAATTGTTACAATATACAAAAGAAACAAAGTTTCAGAAATCGTTGGTCGGCATTCATTACCGTTAACGTCACTTGTCAAGACATAAATCCTTCTTGTTCCTTTATAAATTTCTTAGTGTCAGCACCCCAGCTTCCCAAGGTCTCCACCGCCACAGGAACGAAATTGTAAAACTGCTCCAAAGCTGCATACTTTTGTCTCTTTTTAAAACAGGCTTCTTCCGGGCGATCGACAAGGAATAGATGGTGCGCGACTCAGATGGCTGGCAGCAACAGTGCTGACACAAGTAGGGTCCCAGATCAGGCACTTGCCGTTCTTTTAGGACCCTAGAGTCAACCCGTCCGGCCTCTTATCGTCGGATCTATGATTTTTTAAATTCATAATCTTTAGAAATGTGCGTTGTGCTCGTTCTAGATGTATGAATTTAGTCTTTGCTGCACCTCCCTAAACCGGAGTACAATATACGAGCACAGACAGGTAAATGTGTGTAAGTAGATTTCTAGAAGGGCTTTTTTATTGGCTTTAACCATTGGTGCGACACGTCTTAGGGTTTTGAACGACTAGCTTAGCTTCCTAATTCTGGCAGTAACTTGCTCTACGTGAGGGTACCAGGATAGTCCATTATCAACTCTTACACCCAAATATTTAACTTCAGTTACTTCGCGAATTTTCGGACAGTTACAATTGTTGCCACTATTACCCCTACATGTATGTATAACAATACTATTATCATGAGTTGGTTCATTACGCTTGGCGATACTGAAGATATTTCAAAAGCGATTAAATTTAAATGGATATCATTCGAAGGAAATTAGGTAATTTTAACGTGAATACTTTTTAGACGCGTTGAGTGATTTTTGGTAGGAGTATAATTCATGGACTGGTGTTGATTGCGATTGTAGCGAGTGCGACTGCTGTGCAGAGGTCTCGGGTTCGATTAGCGGGTAGGACAAAATGTTTGTACGGTCTGCAAATATTTGTTTTGGAGTTTGTGTTTCTTATATTATACAGGGTCTGTCGTAAGTAATGGATAATTAATTTGAGGTAGCCCTGATGACAGGCTATAAAAAAAAGTCATTTTCATGTCAGGGTTGACAACGATATGAAAATGGTGAGCATTTTTGTATTTTTTTTAAGTTTGCTACTTTGCTCATCCATTCCGATGCCAGTTCAACAAATTAAGTCAAGTCTTCAGGAGTACGTTACCAAAATAAACTAGCGAGAAAGACCTTAATTTCTTGAAATGGTGTCAAAATGGACGAGTAATGTAGCAAAACTTAAAAAAAATACAAAAGTGGTCACCATTTTCACACTTTTGGCAACCCTGACATGAAAATGTAATTTTCTTACAGCTTGTCACCTATGGGCTACTTCTAATTAATGGGTTATTCATTACTTGCGACAGACCCTGTATAATATACTGATTAACAAAAAAAGTATATAAGTATCCATGCAGTCAATCTAGCTTTCATAGTACAAGCTCAAGCTCTGCTTAATTTAGTTTAGTGATGTGTATAAAAAAAATGTCACGTTTTGATCAAGACGTTTATGTACATTTCATTATTTTCAACTCAAATTAATATTACTGTTTTTTCTTAGAATATATTTTTCTAGATTAAATAGCTTCTACACTGTTAAAAAAATTCCTTACTTCAAAGGAAAAAATTAGCAACTGTCATCATTTATAAAACTCGGCTGATTTTTTTTTGTTCTTTTGCGTCGTGATGCTCTATCTAGACATATTAATATTCTTAGTAGATATTATAGATAAATTACACCTAGACACAGAATAAATGATCGTGCTCATTATCAACAGCCTTGAGTAGTCCACAGCTGGAACTAGGCCTCTCATTAGGAAGAAGGTTTTAGCCTACTATAATACGCTGGCCAGACGTGTTGGTATAGGGTTTGCTTCAATTTTTCCTTCTCTAGACCAACAGGCCCCTCATAGAGATTTAACCAAATGTTTGTATGATCTGAAAATACTTATTTGTTTCAGGGTCTTGGGTGTTTTCTATTTATATAAATATATCAGTCAGTCTAGCTTTCGTAGTACAAGCTCTGCTTAGTTTCAAACTAGATGGCATTGTGTATTAGATGTCCTAAATAAGTTAAAGTTTATTAAAATATTATAAAGATTCACGTTCAGGAGTCGTTTCTCAAAGCTTCAACGAAACGACTCTTCTATATGACAAATTCATTTCCGGTATTTAAATGGCTTAAAAAAGGCAAAAGTAACCGGCAGTCAATGATATGACCGCAATAAAAACATCACCCTTAAATTTACTTACTTTATCACTACATTTTTACATCAGCAGGTCGGCCAATTTTTACAAGAAGAAGAATAAAAATCGTGTTGGAATAAAAATATCACAAAAAGAAATATAGATTAAGGTTAGAGAAGATAAGTAAAAAAGAAACAATTAAGCTTTGATAAAGGCGTGCATATCAAGTAGACATTATATTGATATTCACGCTTTTTATTTTATAGTAGAAATAAATAGCGACGACATTAAAATTATATAGGTATCTGCTAAGTTTTGAACAAGATGAGAGAGTAGGTATTGTGCGAGGACATAGCGTCATGACGTTCTTGAATACCATGTTAAGTTTTTGTCATTAAACTAGGTGGTAATAAATAGATAAAAATAATATATTTCGCATTTGTTTTATACAATCACTTATTTATTTATCTAAGTAAGATTTGCAAGAGAGAAACTGAACAAAAGCAGACAAGAAATTAAATAACCAAATCCTCACTGATCTATACGTCTCTCGTACGTACATATATAACACAATAAATTTAAAGTTATCAAGACAACACAGGACAGTATTTACACATATCATACATAGGCGCAGACACACTGACAACTTTTCAGAATTACTCTAAAATAATTGAAGACTGAAGCGCGTCCTTGCTGCTGCCACACTAGCATTACAAATACCAATGTCAGAATTGAAGCTTTTGCCTGCACGGATGACATGAATATTGAAATTAAACTTTGAAGTAGAAAGAAAGAAGTTCACAGCAGTCAATTTCATTATTTATGTATAGTTTTTTAAATAAATATAACAAATGGTACTTTTACTAACTTATAAATTTAGTTTTCCTATCTCATTTTATTCTCTATATCGTTTCTGTTTAGAATATAAAAACGACCTAAATAACGAATTTGTGAAAGTATAATGTATTTAAAATCATACGCCAGATAAGAAAAGTTATAGTTAATATAAAATGACTGGTTAAGTCAGTAAATAAATCAATTAGTACTTTGAAAGGGTTTACCGTTTATAAAAATAAACCCTTCATATGGAAACATCATGCACCATGCTTACAAACTTGAAAGTATAGATATTTCATTCAAACTTATCAATCAATTCATGAAGAATTATGTTTTTACATTTTTTGAATACGCTTGAAATACAAACTCAACTTCAAGGTTAAAAAAAACTAAAGTGGCATTACATTACAGACGATTCAAGTTTAAACTTAGGATTATAACATACTATCTAAGCTTATACCAGTATTTTTGTAAGTATTTGGTTTGTGGTAGGTTTCGCATTGCCATTTAAAGTATTGCCAAAAATACATTTAAAGAGTAAAATGACAATGTATCTTGGGGATTAATAATTACTAGTACCTAACACAGTAAATCATAAAACCCAGAATACGTTTATTAACATATTTATTAACGTTTCATCTCTTTCCACAGTCAAGTCTAGTAACTTAGCCACAGATTATTGTTTATGGTTCTAGTGATTTTGGATTTCATATTTCACGAGTACCTCTTCGAATATGCTATTTATGTGACGTTCTGGCCTCTACACATTCGCCAGTACTGGCCTCGTTGACGTATCAACTCCATATGTGTGCCTTGTTCAATAATTTTACCTAGAACAACAGAGTCAAAATGAAAAAAAAGATACCAAAAAAATAAGTAGTATTCCTATAAATACTTTGACTGCACGGATGGCGTTGTGGTCGAAGCGGTCGCCACGCCGCTTCCTACTACGCTGAGTGTTGTGAGTTCGATCTCTACATAGGACAACACTTTGTGTGAATCACAAATTGTTGATCTGAGTCTGGGTGTTCTTTGTGTCAGTTACATGTATGTTTGTAAATTCCCCCGCGACACAGGATACATTCCTAATGCGGGAGTTGTTTTGAAAAAATAAAAAAATAATTAAAATAAGAATTTTTAATATTTTATTATATTAATGAAAGACTTTCTCATGGGTTACAATGGTCCTCTAAACCTAGTATTCTTAGAGTAGAACCCTAATCTGCTTGATTTTGAATGAGTAGTAGTAGTAGGTTTAGACTCAGTTAATGAACAACAAGTAAGACTTACCTTTATCTACAACGCAAATAAGATCAGGCATCTTTGATCGTAGAAAGACGGTGAGCGATAGTGATACATGTTCGACCTTTAGCTGCTTTTTCCAATGCTTCGGAAACAGTCTAAAACATTACGATTAATCAATTAGAAAGTTAATTATAACGTTTTTTGATGGTAGTGTAAGACATTTGACAAAGGCAAATATAAGCTTGAAATTTTTAAGTCTTTTTGAAATCCGTATACAAGACACATATATATCGAAGAACTTTCTTACACGTTCACTATTTGCATCTAACGCTGAAGTCGCTTCATCAAGCAGTAGTAGTCGAGGTGACCTGATCAGTGCACGTGCTATACATACTCTTTGCTTCTGCCCCCCAGATAACTGAGCTCCACTAGTGCCCAAGTTAGTGTTGTAACCCTGCAAGTAAAATGAAAATGGTTAGAAATTTTTACCAACTTGACATTTTAACATTTAAAATACCACTTGGCAAAAGTTGACCTTCTTGCGGACAAGAACGTTTTAAATGATTATTGTTACAAGTTTTACGGTGTATGCTTATTTACTCAAGATCCTTAAGAAATGATTCTTAGGTTACAAAGTAAACAATTATAATGTTATAGACAGTTTAATTTTAATCAAAGTTTAAACATGGTGAAAGGAAATTATTCCTTTAATTTTACCCATGGTAAAATTTTATTATTATCTAATCTTTTTAACTTAACCGTACTGAATCGCCAAGAATATTTACATGCAGGTGGTTTGATAATATTCTTGGTAATTAAAAAATAACTTTTATATATATATATATATATATATATACATCTTTGCATAATTTCTGATCAGATAAATCTATTAACTATACAAGAACCACCAAGAGACAATATACGATTGACGTACACCGTGGTAGTATCATCGCCATTTAATGATTTATCTCGTATTCCAAAACAACTCCCAAACAAACTCAATGAATAAAGACTACCATTCGTTATCACTCTCGTATACTATAATGAACTTACTTCAGGCAAAGAGACAATAAAGCTGTGAATATTTGCAGCTTTAGCAGCTGCTGTGATTTCCTGCATTGTAACTTTTCTATTGTTGTCACCATAAGCGATGTTTTCTGCCAGAGTTCCATCAAACAACACTGGTTCCTGTTGCACTACACCGAGCTGCCTTCGCAGCCTCGGCAATGTTAACGATGTTTTTAATGTCACGTCCATCTAATTCCTAATAAAATGTAAATAATAAAAATAAGAAAAAAACATTTTTAAGAACATAAATAAATACATAAATAAAATACATCCTGATAGCCAAGGTCAGGGGTTTGATTCAGCACCACCAGGAGAAAATTTTGTGTGACGAGAACGATCAGTTATCATAGTAGTCTGTGCCTAGTTTAGGATCAGACGGTTTTGTACGAGATGTGTGACATTATTATTATTATTGAACCAAACGGCTAATAAACATACTTATATATTTATAAATACCTACATAGTATAGATCAATTACACCCAGAGACACAAAACAAATTATCGTGCTCATCACACAAAATTTTTGCCTGGTGGTGCTGAATCAAACCCAAGGTCAGGGGTTCGATTCAGCAAGAAATATATACGTATGTTTATCAGCCGTTTGGTTACCATAGTATACAGTATGTGCCTAGTTTAGGATCACATTGTTTTGAAATATTTTCCAAGAACATTTTAAATGAATCTTGAAATATAGCTTTTTGGATCTTATCGCACACAATACGTATGTAGGTAAGTACACAATAGAATGTTTAAAGTACTGAGTTTTTTTTTTAAGATTATTATGAAATAATAATAGGGTATTTTTTAAAGTTTACTATATTTATAATACATACAATGTTACCAGTATCGGGATCGTAAAATCTCTGCATTAGCTGTAGCACTGTGGATTTGCCGCAGCCTGATGAGCCTACCAGGGCGACAGTCATACCAACTTCCACCTTTAAATTGATACCCTTCAGGATTTTCTGGTTAGGACGCGTGGGATAGCAGAACTCAACATTATTTACTGAAAAACTTCCAGAAGCGACCTGAAAGGTAAAATATACCCTGTATGGTTTTTCCAGGAAATAATTACAAGTTTTTCCAAAATAATTACTTAATGTTTCTGGAATGCTCGTATGTGCATATAAACTCTTCTTACCCAATCTAGTTTATCCTTAATACCGTCTTCTGTTCTTACTTTAGGTACTCTTGTGATGACCGATACGATTCTAGATGCAGCTGCTTTAGCTGAGTTAACACCAGGGGCGTACGATAATGACTGACCCAGCATATATGCTCCGTACATGAGAGCCATATTTACCCTGAAAGTAAAATAAAACATGATTTATACATAACTATGACCATTAAAATCTGCACCAATTAACGCCACGTTCTACAATCCCAAGTGAGTAATAAATATTTACATTTTAAATATGTCGCATCACTTATGTACGTAAATATATCACATAAAATCGGCTTCTACAATTAATAAACATGCAATAGTATCATACCATATAAAGCATTGTATTGGGTTTTTAAATACTTCAAACAGCATCTTAATACTTTATTTACATACAATCATAACCAATTTGAAGGGGTTGCGGCTTAATACATGCTGGTACATATGATGGTAATAGAAATATTCGCTATTATTTTCTCTTATATTTTATATTATTAGCGACTTTTTCTCACTATTAAGGTGATTCACAGATTCATATCTAATTTCAGTTTATAAACAACCAAATTATATATAAAATATTTTATTAATTACTATGACAGATTTTGACTTGGTCTTTTACGCTATTTATTTCTGAATATGGATAACTAAAATATAGAGATAAAGGAGAACGGCAGATCCTGTACCCCTAGTAATATATGATGGATGATTATGAAACTTGTACCGTTTATAAAGTGAATGATCCTAACTATTTTCTTGTAATTATCATATTTTCAGAACTATGCTAAAAGTAAATAAATCTCAAAGAATTATAACATCTGCAATAACTAAACGTACAAGTGTTGTTAATTTCGCATTTCTACATTTTCTAAACTTCCCATGCATAAAATATAAATTATATAAAAAACTATATCTTTACATCGAGATCAATGAATGAGCTCACTGATGTATTTAGCAGTTAAAAACAGACATTGCTTTATAAACAATGTTGACTGTATAGATTAGACAAAGTAATAAATTTTTAGCTTTTTTAAATCAATTAATTTAAAGTAAGCAACTAATAATTTTTATTCTAATCGATTAGGTAATTCGTGATCACAATGTAAAAAAGTAATTAAACTGATTTGTCATGTCACCATTTTATTAAATCTAAATTATATCTTAATATACTTTAGCTATAATAACCATTTTTTATTAAAATTGGTCAACTAAAATGGATCAAAACAAAAAGTGATTCTATCAGTATCATGATATTAATCCTTATCTAAATAAACTAACTAACTAATAATATATGTATATATATGTCCTAAATTACTAAGTAGTATATATAAAATTACTTTTTGAATTGTTCAAATCAGTAAATTCGTTTTGAAGTTATGTTGAGTAATAAGAAAGTAAAAATTGTCGTATAAATGGCAAACCGCTACGGAACAATGCATGCACGAGTATCGTGACATCATAAACCGCCCCCTGTACGCTTAGATCTTACTACCTGCGCAACTGATTATATTTTTCATCATTAGATAGAGTCATTCACGACGATGGTTCATATGTATAATACATGCATGTTATAGTAGAGAAAAGCCGAGAATTTTTAAGGTTTGTAACGTACGTTTGTAACAAAGCATGTTTTTATGCCCTTTCTTTTTTTGTTTTTTTTTCCGTTTTCCGGAAATCCCCTCGGATACCACCTATCGGTGGCATGTCGGACTCGAACCGACTAAAACCACACGCCGTCTCGGGATTCTAATAGCCGGGGAACCAGGTATAACCTAGAAAGGAAGTCCCTGGTGCCCCGACATACCTCGGGCCATCTGCAACAAGTAGACGACCCCCCCCGTGTGGGAACCCCATGTTCCCTCTGCTCCCTGGAAGCGAGCGCGTTTGGCAACGCGCTCGCCGCCACCTTGGCCTGCTTCTGCTAGGGTGACAGATGGCCTCACCTGTCACCCCCAGGCCTGCGCTTATGGAGGACGGAGGTCGTTCTGCGACCTCCGGCGCCTGAGTCGCCTGCGGTACCTGGCCCGTTCCCAGGCCTGGCGGGCCGGGAGAGTTCTAAACCTCTCCCGGACCCGCTCCGCCGCAGAAGGAGACGGCAGAGTTCCACGCACTGTCACTCCGCACGATAGCCGCAATCAGGCTATCGAGCGAGAGAACTCCCACTCCGATGGCCGCCACGAGGTCTCGCCTTTGCTCAACTCACGCCGGGCACTCTGCCAGCGTGTGGAGAGCCGTGTCCACGATCTGGCCATCGCAGTGGTGGCACTCAGGCGTTGGCTCCTTGTGGATAAGACACAGGTGATCCCCGAAACATCCTTTCCCAATGATCACCTGCGTCAGTCGGTATGAGAGGGTCCCGTGACGCCTCTCGAGCCAATCCTCCATAACGGGTCTTACCACCGCGATGACGGCGTGCCCGTTCTAGGGTACACCTGGTTCCCCGGCTACAGGTACGCGAGACTGCGGCGCGTCTCAACATAATCTCCCCACGGAGGTGCCAGCTGTCGTCGGTGAGCTGCGGTTGCCAGAGTAACGTCTAAAGAAAAGATATTTGTATATTCTCATAAAAAATAGCTCTATATGAAGTTATTCTGTAGTATAAAATTATTAATAACTCGACACTGACACCACATTAGTATCTACATTGCACCCGTGCGATGCCGGGGCGGGTCGCTAGTACCCTATATAATTATTGCTATTCTACGAGACAATTAATATTTTTCACAATACGTACAGTAACACAATCCTGTACTCCATTTCTCCGCGAGAAACTAATACAGTACCATACACCGTTGCGCTACCGAATGCCATAAATGGCACGTAAACTCCTGAACCCAACACCAAACCTCTCCACCGTGCCTTTTTAATAATGGCAGAGCAAGCTTCTACCAAACCTTCTTCGAATTTGCCGAGAAATGTTGATTCAACACCTGAAAATATTTCACCATATTTATTTAAACTTTTTTTAAAATTCAAAAGGTTTTTATCTGAAAATATGTTGATTTCGTACCCAAGCTCTGAACCGTTCTTATGCTAACAACGGCTTCTGTTGCAATAGCAGTGGCCGACTCCATAGCCGCACGTTCGTCAGATTGTGATTGCTGTGATACTATCCCTTCTAGCCAAATACTACCTACCATCTGTAAAAATATAAAAATAATATTAATATACGACTTATTTGAATAATAAATTTATTAAGTTGTAGATTATACTGACCAAGGGAAGGAAAACAGTTCCAACTAAGGTAAGTTTCCAGTTATAGCACATTGCCATAATAAAACCGACGAATACCGAACTTATTCCTTGCAGTATAAGTCCTATCCTTAAGCCTGTTGCACCTTGAACTTCAGCTGCATCTCCACTTAGCCTTGCACACATTGCTCCAACGGTATTGCTTTCTCTATCAAAATAACCAATTTCCTGAAAAAAAAATTCTCTTTTATCATTTTTGTAGTGCCCTGATTCCAATAAAACTTCTTATATCAATATAATCTTTAGATCCTAAACTGTTGTAACTATCTATGTATGTGTAAGTCTCTTTAGTATGTATTATTATAGATACCAGCACTGTCTTCTGTCTACATGTGGAAGCTTGTAAATGGCATCTAGATAATTAACATAATATGTATTTTGTAAATTTAGCCGTAAGCTCCCCAAATATAATAAAATAAAATAAAAATAAATAAATAATCGACAGTATAAAATTAGGCTTTTCTACTAGGTGGTATACATGGATAAACATTAAAAGAACTAAATGTTTTAAGTTAAAACTTTCAATACTTTCAGGTGTTCGGGTTCAAACGACCAGACGGGTTACTTGGTGGTAAATAACTACCGCCGCCCATGGACACCTGCAAGTCAAGAGCAATATATATATATATTCACTCACCAGCAGGTCATCAGCTCTTTTGCATAAAAAACTTTGTGTAAATTACTAAAAGCCGAATAATTAATTAATAATCTGTCAGATATCAAGAGACATAAAATAATGTAGAACACCTACCTGTGCCAGCAAAGCCGTAAAATATTTTACTCGTAATCGAGTAGTCATTTTTAAACCAGCGGTAGTAAAAGTGAAGCTTTGGAGACACATAGAAATGCCGGCAACTGCTGCTACAAGAATGAACATACCAGAGTAAAGATCGGCATAGTATATAATTTGGTCTCGATCTGTTAAAACAAAGATCTGTAAAACAAAAGACTATCAAGTTTCTGCATTAAAAATAGTTTATGAATATATATTATCAATCAGTATAATCACCCCGCTAGAAAATCCAAAGATCAGAGCAAAAGCAGGAAAGCAAACACCCTGCACAAATGCTGCAATAGACCCGATGACAATTAGAACCCATTCAGGGCTGTTCAACTTCAAAATCTCCAGATTGCTAAGTGGCTTTAACTGCTGTTGATAATAAATAGCAAGTAATTATATCGCTTCAATACATCACAATAAATACACAATCATTTTATAGCGAACAGCTTACTTCATCTTCATCTGTTTCTTCATGTTTAGAATTGTAGGCAAAGTTTTGCAATCCTGCTGACATGACGGAAGCAAAAGATCCACGTGGAGTCATCCAGTCCTGAGAACCTTAACAATAGCAAATTTAAATTAGTTTTTAAAATTCTTTTATTACACCAAATTTTACTCAACATTTCACCATAATATTTCGGTATTAGATTATTTAACCTACTTTACTGAACTGTCTATGTTTAATTGTGTCAGTTTTTTAAGCATTTCAGTTTATACTATTATATTGCCTATCGCTACTGTTCCATTGAAAAGTTATTCATTTGATATTAATTTATTATTATTATTAATATTTAAAGTAATTCTTTAAATATTAATAAATTATTAATAAATAATTATTGTGAAAGACTATTGACGAATTCGTGTACTGTTATTACTTCAACTTTAAAAACGTACAAAGTTGTTCAAAGGGTAAAATCTTATGCACTAAATAATAATCAATCCTAAATAACCATGTAATGCACTTCATATCAAACCTCTTGTTACAGACTGTCCATGTATCTGTCTGGTAGATTTAGTAGATTTTCTCTTTAGATCCGTTCTTGAGACTGTAATTTGATCATTTATATTCTGTTCACCATCTCCCCCCTCCGACAATATCTCAATTTCTTCAACATCTTTATTTTCCTTTCCTGTGGTCACTAGCTTGTAATAAAATCCTAGAATTGGTCAAATATGGTAATTTACTGTATCACATTTAAAGTAGGGAACTCGACTTGTTTAATCGAACGGAACGGAACTTTAAAACCAAATTTACCTTGTTTTTTCATAAGTTCTTTATGCGTACCTTCCTCTACAATAGCTCCTTGATCCATGCAAATAATCCTATCCGCGTTTATAATTGTAGATAGCCTGTAATTGTTACAAAAAAAAGTGAGCACAATGTGGATAAAGCCTGAAATTGAATGTGAAAACAATCGTGATAGCCAACCGATGGGAAACCGAAATGGTAGTCCGACCAACACTAGCGCGGTCTAGTGCTATTTGCACTTGTCGTTCAGAATTCGGATCAAGAGCGGATGTTGCTTCATCCAGTAGCAGCACCGCAGGTTCTCTTAGTAACGACCGCGCAATCGCAATCCGCTGCTTTTGACCGCCCGACAGCGATGCACCACGTTCTCCAATTACCGTGTCGTAGCCCTTGAGACAATTTGTAATTGCACATTTTGGTTATTTCATAAATTCATAAATTACTCTTACACATTTATATTATATTATATTACACTTTTTGGAATACAATTTATAACAATTCATACTCACATTAGGCAATTTTGTAATAAAATCATGAGCATACGCCATTTCAGCAACTCTTTGGACCGCAGTTAAGGTAGCATCCGGAACACCTATAGCGATATTATCGAATATTGTACCGCGGAACAATACTGGCTCTTGTCCAACTACACCTAAGAAGTAAAAAATAAATTAAGTTATTATAAAGGTTATTAAAAATATATAATTAAAAAAGTGTGTTTAAAAATGGTTTATACCTACCTAAACAGGATCGCAGCCAACCTAGATTAAGACTTTTAATATCCTTTCCATCTAATTTTTATTACTCCGCATTGCGGATCATATAGCCGTTGAAGTAACTGAAGTATTGTTGATTTGCCGCAACCAGAAGAACCGACTAATGCTACACACTCTCCAGCTTTAATGCGTAAAGAAAATCCCTTGAGTATCTGCACGAGAAAAAAATCATTTTTCATAATCTAAGATATATAACATAACATCTAACATTTATTTGATAGAAGAAGAAACTGAAAGGCAGCTAAAACCTCTGGCTCTAGAAGTATGAAATTTTGAGTAAACGTTCCTTAATATAGTGTGTACTATACGGGATTTTTGGAAATTCTTACCCTTAGGACTTTAAGAGAAGGTTGAAAGTTTGTATGAAACTTGATCAAAGAAGTAAGAAAAGTAAAAAAATATTTGTGCTCATGATTCTAAACAAGTTTACTATATCACTACTTAAAAAAAAAATAGGTCGACTATTGTGGTCAAGCATGAGTTTTTCATAAAAATTAATCAAGTTGTCAAATTAATTTTATACAATACATATCAAGAAATTCCTCTCACACAATGAAATTTAATGACCGTTGCAGATAAAATACATACATATAAAACAATTAATAATGTATTTATATGATTCTGATTAATTGTTTGTATCTTCTACGATGTCTGATGTCGGCCACCATGCGAACGAAGTCGCGGGCAAAAGCTAGTATACAAATATATTTAAGATTAGCTGGTACCCATGACTTCGTTTCCGTGGAATTTGAAAAGTGATACCTTCGTGGGTTCGATTCCCGAACCAGGCAAAATTTTTATAGGGTTTTCTAAAAGGAAAATAGCTTAAGTTACTCCTTACATAGACAGCTGCCTGGTAGTAAAATATTATTATATTTACAAACAAATTTTTATGAGCTTGAAAAAACCTATTATTTTGACATTATAAACAGACACCTCAATTTTATATATTTGTATAGGTGAACATAATTTCATTTTACACTACCTTCACTTCAGTTCTAGATGGGTAGTTGAAATGTATGTCTTCTAAGCAAATGTCTCCCGTAACTCTTCTAGGACATAATCCTCCAGTTTGAAGACTATCAATTTTGGGTTGTCTATCTAGTAAATAAAATATGCTAGCAGCTGCACCTCGAGCCGAAGCGAATACTTCCGCATGAGGCACACAAAATGTAATGGATTGTGTAGCCATATATGTATTGAACAATATCTGCAAAATAAGATTAGAGTAGTCGACAAATCATAATAAGAAACTCAGTGTGTCTTTCAAAAATAAAACTTACACTAAATACAACTCCTACTACATATCTGTTATCGTCGGCATCTTTGTCAAAGCTCTGTACTATAAGTCTAGTACCATACATTAATCCTATGGTATTTAGGGAGTAGGTTAAAATCCAGTTGAATCCGTTTCCTAAGCCGGAGTAGAGGCCACGCTTACGACCCTGTTTTTCTGCTGGCTGTAGTAGACGGCTGTATCTGTAGCGAATATATAATATATAGAATAAAATACTAGTATTAGTTCCGTGAGACACAAATTTTAACAATATTTATTCAAAAAATGTGATAAAACTTTATAGGCATAAATATTTATAAGCATCAAACATTTCAATTTACTTATGTAACGAAAACGTATTCTAAAATTTAAATTGCTACGATAGTTATAAAGCTGTACTCGTAGCCCAGATGTTGAATTATGGTTTGACTAGCCTCGTATCGTAGTTATCCCTTGAGACCATATTATGCTATCGTTTAAAAAAACTGTTTGAAAGTCTTTTAATGACGTCATTGAAAGTCAGTTGCGTTGAAGTTCCATTGTAATATAAGCCAGCGAAAGCTGATGGTCCTTAAGTTTAATTGCTACTTTAGCCATTTTTCTGTTTGAGGTAATATTTTCAGTTTCACAGCTTTAATATGAAGATATAAGTTCCGCAATAAACTAACAAGACATAACAAATTTAATTGTAACGCAGATTAAAAAAAAAACACCAGTGTTTATGGCCAATGACTAAATTGAAACTATTTAATACAACTTGCTAGAAATTAAATAAACAAACTTAAACTTACTTAGCAACCTCTTTGCTCTCTCCATTAAATGCTACAATAGTTCGAATCGACTTTAGAACTTCTTCGGCTTGTTTGCCAGCTTGGCTGTATGATTTCATTTCCAACATCGAAGACTTAGTTTGGTACTGAAACATTTACAAATTAGAAAATATATCAATAATATAATTTATTGCTACTTCTATTTAGTGCAAATTTATCTACTATCTTTGAATAATATATGTAGTAGATAAGGTGTAGACAATAGGTTATAAACCTATCTATAATCAATGGTTCTTCCTACTCTGTCTCTCTATCTCTTTGCTTTCTGTACGCATTGGCCAGTGTGCTCCATGTTTTTAGTGAGCAGAATCTTGAATAGTTCCAGGAACAACTGAACTAGAGAATACGAAAATGATAATTTAGTATGTCAAAGGTATTCTAAAAAATAATAAACACAGTATCACAAAACTAAAGGTCATTGGATGTAATTACAACTGTCAAGGCACAGATCTTATAGCTACGTACCAACTATCTGATTCATATGAAAATATCAAGACAAGTAAAAATTATTTTATACAAATGCTCGAAGTTTCATAAAGGCCGGCAAACTAGATGAACTGAAATGTGTGGTACAATCTTTTAATAATCCCTTAGACGTTATTATTGTGACTGAAAGCTGGATAAAACCTACCGATGAAGCTAAAGGGACACAGATCACAAACAAGAGGTGGTGGCGTCTCGAAATTTATACGTAAGGATCTGCAACACAACTTGATTGCCTAAACGACCCTAATGCATTACCTATAGATACACCTATAAATTTACTCGCTAGGTACCGATGCTATATACAGAAAACTAGTAGCTGTCATTGCCAAAAACTTTTAGATTTTATATAATCACCAAATTCACAACAAGAAAAGAGGATTTGGTTTTGGCGATTTTAACTTCAACTTATTGAAATCAGACCATTTAACAACGATGTACAAAGAAGTCCTTCAAGAAAACGATTACATAATACTGAACATCATTGATGAAAATAGCGGGCAACGTCTACTACCAAAACCATAATTGATCATGTGTTCGTATATTAAAGATAACAAATTCAATTTGGCCTTATATTGATACACCTATATCGGAACACAAACATATATACCTCGAAATTAAAAGACGCCACGATAATTCTAAATCTAAGGTCAAATATGAGGCAATAAACTTTAATATGATAAAAAAAAACAACAGGAAACATAAACATTGTGACATTGATATTGTGAACATAAAGAGGAAGCTGTATCTGCTAAACTTGTTACATCGGATAAATATGTGACAGATGAAAAATATATTTCTGAGTCCTTCAATGAAGTCTTCTCGAACGTGGGATTAGACTTAGCTAATCAAATTCCTTAATAGTATCACAACAATAATTTCATCTGCATATGCACACATACTCCAAAAACATCTTCCACACTAACTCGACTGGCATTGGCCACAAAAAAAACGAAGTTGCAAAAATAATACACAGTTTAAATTGAAATACCACATAATCAGTGATAGACGGCATAAATAAGAAATTTTAAAATGCTTCTCTAGCATAATACTTAAAGAGCTTACCAATTGCATCAATGAAAACTAGAATCTAGAACTTTTCCGAGCAGCCTTAAAGTTGTAAAAGTTACGCCAGTATATAAATCGGGCAGTAAAGCGGAAGCCTGTAATTATCGTCCCATGTCTGTGCTTCCTGTGCTCTCTAAAGTTTTTGAGCGTATTTTTTATAATCGATAAAAAGCTATCTCACTAAAGTAGATTTTCTATTTGAGAAGCAAAAAGCAAATACTACATTGTTTTCTAAAAATTATGTAATAAATAATATAAAATGAACTCAGAATAGGCCACGCTCAACTAATTCCTAATGAGTACCATATCTAGCTACTGTTCTGTTTGCAAAAGTATTGACACTTACCCTCCTTTATTTTTAATAATTATTTTTGTATTATCTACTTAGATTTGCCGCCCCATAAATATATTGTAATTTTATAATTATGTTCTCATGTAAGTGAATGTAAATGTTAATGAGAATAAAGTTTCTATTACCCAATGCAGAAACGTGACCAGGGCGATTTGTACATACATTACAATTTAAATTATGCATATTTATACCCAGTTATAAATAGCACAATGTAAAGTAATACAATAAAATAAATTATAAAATGCAACTATCGTTTAATGCTAACGTGCTTATGTAAATAGGATAACTATCTAATGATAACATAAAATTTAAAGGAAATCATTTGATATCAAGTACCTACATAAGTTGTTCCAAAACTTGTTAGCAACATAATACGTAAGTACACTCTTTTCTTTCTTGAAACTATTTGAATTGACTAATTTCAATACAAACATCTTTCCTAAAAATCATTGGCCATTTATGTGTAGTTCCATTTATCAATATTTTTTAAACTGTAAACCTGTGACTCTTGTTTACGACAAACTCTTGTAAACGTCTCGCGGGAAGCTTTTCGTGTTATGATTTTTATTATTATAAACGAGAGTTAACCTTCAAGAAATCTTACGAAATTTACAATCTGGGGAGTCTGTACCTGCATTAGCAACCGTAACTTTTTGTTTTCGTAAATTTAAACGTGGTCGAGAGAACCTAAAAGATGACCGGCTCACTTACAACTGGAGTAACTCATGAAAATGTTATCGATACTAGACACATTACACATGGAGAGATGCAGGCTGAACTGAAGATTGTATCATAGGCAGTTTCCACCATGCTGCATGAACACGCTCAAAGTTTTTTTCTTTACCTTTATAAGTATTTTTTTTACTATTGCCAAACAACATAGCAGTTTGTTAGCAGTTGTAGGTCACACAGCATCATAGCAATTTAGCTTTAATTACACTTTCTCATATTTATATTAATTAATTACAATTACATATTTATAAATTTTCATGACAATTATAACTAATAATAAAAACGGCGTGAGTCGTCTATGGACCACCGGTCAGCACGAAGTTCCGAAAGAAGTGTGAATAAAAAGTCTTCGTACACATTTTTCGGTCTTGCTTCCATCCGCTCAGAGCGTGTAAGGCGAGATAAGGAACTTTGTGTGACAAAAATAAAAACAATTAAATAAGGAAGCTTGCTTCGTGATGAATACCTCATTTTCTCACCGAAGAGCACAAAACACAGCTTGTTATTTTGTCGTGTACATTTATACTAGAAAAGTTCAAAGAAGGAATTTCGAAGGAGTCGACGATAAGACGAGTTGTTTGCGGTCGTAGCGTTAATGACAGTGGTTTTTTTTCAACGCAGTGGACCAGTAGCAGAAGACCGTAGAACAGTTACTAGTGCACTCGCTTCCACAAGCTGCTAGAACTATGGACTATTTTAATACTTCAAGGTTTACATTACCTCAACCTCAATATGGCCAGAGCCATGTAGCTTATGCGAGTTTTTTTTATTTCCCACAGTGAAAAAATGCTTTGTGGGTAAAAATTTAACACTGCAGAAGAGGCTGTCGAGAGTTTCAGCGGTAATTTTTCGACCTCCCTAACTATAAAGATATAATTTTTAAATCTTTCGAAACCTGGTTCAACAGAATGCATAAGTACATTGGGGTTGGTGGACAAAATTTTGAAAACTTGAAAATAAACTTTTGACATCAATACCCTCTATGTTTTATTTTACTAACAATGTTTCGGCACACCCCTGACCCTGGCTGGCTGTAGTCTGCTTTTGTAGACTGCAGGCAGCCAGCTTTCGCTCGAATAATGGGCGAGCAAGAGCCATAGACGAATTTACAAGTTATTCTAAGTTCTATTATGTTACATTTTATTCGCTTACTATATTTTGAACATATTTTTAAGCCATACATAAAAATATAAAACTTAATACTCACATTAGTCAACAGAATAGAAGCTCCCAAAGAGAAGGGCATAATCGATAGGCAGGCAAGGGTGAGCTCCCAACCCATTGGGAAAACACGTGCAGATACAGATGATGGACGTTCCGACCAGATTGGATACCATTGAAAGCTTCTCGCCCATGCCTTCTTTTAAGACTCATTAAATTTCTGGAATTGTTTGAAAAAAAAAACCTTTAAATCTTTTAATTTAAAGTATTAGGAACATATTTAATTCGAAACATCTTTGGGTCATTGTGGTGACGGATTAAGAATACAGAGTGTCAACCACCCCTATTCATCCCGTGGGTGTCGTAAGAGGCGACTAAGGGAGAAAACTACGCAGGACAACAACACTGCAGAGAGAAGGAAACTTGAAACAAACCCTATACCAACCCATCTGGCCAGCGTGGTATAGTAGGCCAAAACCTCCTTTCTAAGGGGAGGCCTATGTCCAGCAGTGGACTATTAAAGGCTGTTGATGATACCGGACCTTAACGAAAAAAAACATCATGTGGTTGGTTGTAACTTGAACCCTAGTGATAGAGTTATTATTAACCTGAATATAGCTTTCCACCCTTCTAGAAAGAAAAATGAGATACCCTTTTCTTATGTTTCATAGACTTCTCATATTTTAATTGAAGTACGGAGGAACTCTTTCATTTAAACTGTTATTGAACTCAAACTGGTTGAGTTAGACAGAAACTAATTGCGAATATATAATAATGACAATCTCTTTATTCGGCATTTCTATAATTTATTGGTATACAGTTGACCTTAACAGCTATGTTAGTACATGTAATTGAGATAAGTTAGTAATTGTAGGACTGTTCTGTCTGTCTGCAATGACACTCAGGAGACGGTTAGGACTACAACGTATCCTCTGCAGCAGTGACGCCGCATGTTGTACATGTACCTGTACCTACCGAAAGCACTAACGGTCTTCTGCGTACACAGGTCCAAAGACTGCACGTGAAAAATGTCTGACAATACGCTTTAAAAAGCGTCAATTTTATTTTACAATTGCAACGTAAACAAAGCTATAATAAAATTAAACTACTATGAAATTTGAAATTTTTGTTATTTTAACAGTTAATTGTATTTCTGTTAATGAAGATCGCTGCAACGATTTCAAATGCGATTTCGAAAACGTATCGCCAGGTGATGATGCAACGCAGTGAATAATAAAATAACATAGTTTATTGAATTTTATAATATGTTTTATGATGCTGTATATTATTTGTTTTTAAAACACTCATTTAAAAAAATACTTTATAGAATAATTAGCAATACATACTCTTAAGGACTATTTTGAATAACTGATAGAACTTACTCTGTCATTTTCGAAGCTAAATTGAACTCTGAATCAGTGTCGAACCAAGACATATCCTGGCGTAGTACAGCCCTTAGAAATTTCATCCGTATTCGAGTAATCTAGTAAAAGAAAGTGATTAAAAGTGATGTTAATATAAATATTAGGCGTGGTCCTGAGGTTTCTTTACACACTTCGCTACTAATATTTAGATACATTCATAAGAATTTTTCATACAATTTTGTAATTACTTAAAAATAGTTTAATAAATCCCTTTTAAAAAAAGATTGACCCGACTTAGAATAATAGATCACAAAAAATTTAAGAAAAACATAAATACAAATCAAATTGAAAAAAAACTAAAATAAGTGCGACCCTTAAAATAACAGGTACCATGTAAATAGCAATAGATACTTTCTAGCCTGTTTGAATGTTGAAAGAATAAAACAAGGTCAATACATTAATATATTCATAAAAGAGTCTTATTCTTTAACTCTTAAAGTTCAAGGACCCTTCCATCATCAGCACTATGAGATCACGACTGCCAAACACAAATACCTCTTTAATTAGAGAAATAAGCTAAAACACATTATTGGGGGCTGTAAAATTTGAGGGTTTCCCTCAATTTCTTTAGGATCCCATCATCAGATTCTGACTTGGTGGTAATGGGACCACCTCGGGCGTATACCACTACGATTACGAATTTTTTTTTAGAAAAACATTTACAATTTTTAGAACAAAAAAAAAAACAGTCGAATTGAGAAACCTCCTCTTTTGTGTTTTTAAAGTTGGTTAATAAGAAAATAGTCAATATACCTGACGCAATGCGCTCCAACTAACTAGTAAAACCGAAAGAACGACGAAGAAAAGAGAAATGACGATGCTCAGGAACATTCCGATGGCTATCGCTTTAGCATCTTCTAACAGTGCCGCCATATTTTCTTCATATGACGCGTTGAACCTAATGAAAGAAAAAAATATCGAACTATATTGAACTATAATACTACTTACCGCTCAAATTTTGAGTAAGAGGCTTAATAATAATATTTTAATCATTGTTAACCATAACGAAACTTGATAAACTATACTGAGTTCCATAATATATTTGTTTTCAGAAAACATTATTTTGAAAAACTTCTTAGTAAGTTAGTACTTACTGGCACTAGAAATCACGCGTTCTAATATTTTATTAATCATCGATCCCTCCGACTGTATCCACGTAAACACGTGTATTTTGGAGTTTACATCGAAAACTCCAGTGAGGTTTAACTTAAGATTTTGGTGTGAAGAGTTTAGATGTAAAATCAGTAAAATGTAATTTTTTAAGAAACCATGTCAATAAAACCACACTTAATATAAACTTACGGAAAAAGAAACGTTCTAGAACTTTCAAACTATTAATACTGAAAACCTTGTAATATTTCACTTACAGCCTTCTACCGCCTCCGAAGGCCCTGAGTAAGTGGTAGATAACTGCTTTCTCTATTTATGTTGGTTGTTCTTTCCACAAAGGCCGTGCTAAGCTCTCCAATCTGTACCATGTTGTAACAGACACCTCCTCCACTTAGCAGTCCAAATACCACCCCTAGTATCGTTGCCGTAAGCTCCAGCCATGTTGCGTAACGAAACTAAAAATTTATTTGTGACGTAAATTCATTTCTGTATTGTAAATTTTATATTAAAGTAGTTTTGGTACCTATGTTGCGCAGGTGACTCAATAATAAAATATTTCCGAAAACAATAAGATTTTCTGTTTAAAAACCATTCTTGTGTTACAGCAGTATGTATAGAAATGACTTTAAATTTTATATCTATTAATGTATGTAGTATGAAGGAATAGTAATTAAAGACAGCTTTAAAGCGAAATCCCTCGAATAAGAAGGAAGGTAAACATCAATTCTCACTTTTTCCTATTTATATTTAAATAAAGGGCAACCACATATTTATTTTACTTACTATTTGAAAGTACGACACATTCAGCTCTGTGGTGTTTTTTCTGAAATAAATAAGTAAAATGTACTTAAGTAAACAATAAAAAGAAGAGCTACAATTTTTTTTAGGAGTGTGAGAACTTATATTACAATAATATAAATAATACTGTGTGTACCTATTCATTTATTTTCTGTTTGACAAAAACGTTGCCAATTTTGTTTTAAAGCAATCGGTTTACAAAGATATTTAGTTTTAGCTAAGAAAAATGGCCCTATAAACTTTTATAAAATTACTAACTATGAATATTCCATTTGGTCTTTACTCTAACTTTAAACTTGCTTTCAATCATTTTGGAGTTTTTATTGCAAAAATATAACTTTAAATACCACTTGTCATAAACACAGACAAAAGTCTGTGATATTGATACTGAACTGCTAATTTGAATAAGCAGAAGAAACTTATGTTGTGCATAATAGAATGTAACTCTTTTTATCGACGATAACAAAACTAATTTATTTAAAAACAATTAATTGTGATTGTAAATTGTATAATTAAAAAAAAGAAGATAATCTACATACTTTAGTAACAGGACAGTTCAAAGTTCGAATTTTCCCAAGTCTAGCATGGTTACGTTTTTAAACAACTGATAAAAGTGAAAATAAATAAATCATTAGAGATGTGTGATGGTTAACGATGTCGAGCTAAACGTTGTGGGTACATTGACATTTTTAGTAATAACATATTCTAAGCTACATTAGGGCCCATATATATATAAATTATCGAGTAGACTCAGCTCAGCAGCGAAAGCAGTTAGAAAACTTCGAGAATTGGCTCATATTGATACAGCACGACTCGTTAACTTCGGTTATTTTCATAGCATAATGTCGTACGGTATTCTACTGTAGAGGAATGCCGCCGACATTCAAACAATTTTTGTTCTGCAAAAGAGAGCGATTCGAGCAATTTACAATTTAGGCAATCGTTGTTCATTGATTCAAAAATTTAAAGAAATAAACACAATGACAGTGGCAAGTCAATATATATATGAAAATGTATGTAATATATGTTCATAAAAACAAAGATAGCTTCTAGAAAAGAAGTGATGTACATGATTTTCATACAAGAAATAGAAATAAACTTGTAGTACCTGCCTCTAATCTCCAAAAGCTAAACAAGTAATTTCGAGGTTAATGTGTCTGTTTTTATAATTAAATCCCAAATAGTATACCAGATTTTAGTATAAACAAATTCAAATCCACAACAAAACAAAAACTAAGTCACAAAGCCTATTGATCAATTGTGGATTACTTAGAAGACAAGAATGCTTGCGATCAATTTAGCACAGTCTATTTCGTAGTGAAAATGTGATGTGGGCTCACTAGTCCACATCACATCAAAAGATAAAAAGGCAATGAACAGAAAACAAGATATAGAAAGAAAGACACACTTGTCTTTCTTTCTATATCTTGTTTTCTTTTTTTTTTTGAAGTCGGTTAAAAAGAGTGGCCGTGAGCTTGTTTGCTCTTTGTTTTCACGAGTCTCTACCCCTTGGTAATCGGCGGTTGTAGATCGGCACAGGCACATTCGATACGTATATGTTTAGTTTGCTAAATATTTGACAATACAGAGATTGTTGCTATTGTGTGAGTTGATCTATGACTTAAGCGTCTACACAAGAGGACGAATTCAATTTATTTATTTTTAAAAAATAAAGATATTTGAGTTTTGAGTGCAATAAATGGGTAACCAAAATGTTTGCAGCATATTGTCACGTTCCCCTCAGCTAGCAAGACACATTTCGTGTGATGACGGATTAAGAACACGGAATGTCAACACCCCTATTCATCCCGTGGGTGTCGCAAGAGCCGACTAAGGGAGCAAACTACGCAGGACAACAGCACTGGAAAGAGAAGGAAAACTTAACGCAAACCTTATATCAACCCATCTGGTAGAATAGGCCAAAACCTCCTTTTTAAGGAGAGGCCTATGTTCAGCAGTGGACTACTAAATCCGGTTAATGATATATGATCATGAGACAGCGTTTTCGACTGTTTTCGGTTACGCTCAAGATGCCAACAAAGGTACAGCAGATAACATTATGCACTACGATAAAAGAATGGAGGTCCAAAAGCTGAAGAAAAACTCATTCGCTAGAGAAGATGTAAAAAGTATGTAGTCGTGAAGGAGTAACGTAGGGAGAAACATAGTACAAGAAACATTCGCTTAATCTTGTATAAAAGAAAGAGACGAGGCGTTCGAGATCACGAGGGAGACAGCAGACAATCCGACCTAAACATCGATAAACCAAACATGATATTATAACTTGCTTTTATTACCATTAAGTCATATAGGTATATATAGTTTAAATAGATAAGAAAATGTATCTTCACCATCATCAGCCTAAACGCCGTCAATTGCTGAACCAAGGCCTCCCCCAAAGAGCGCTAACCATCGTGGTCTTGGTATACATCTATCAGCTGCCAGCTATTCTCCGTAAGTCGTCGGTCCTTCGTAAGAAGGTTTAATAACACTAATATTTCAGTTTATTACCGAAACATCATAATTAAAGGTTTTACGTTTATTTGCCCCCAGAATAATATTAAAACATTCATTCGGTTTGTGTTTTATTTTAATGATGTCATGCACTTGAATGTTTTATTCATGGCAATCAAGGAAGAAAACGTAATACCCTAGTCTTTTAATGATTATGATATGATAATCTTTACCTGTAAAGTTTTATAGTGGGATTAATTTCAGGCATTCGTTCTCTTGATATAGTTAAAGAAAGAATGAGAGGTTATTCTAATGGTAAGAAAATATTCTATTATTTTTAATAGAAGAAATTTACAATAACTTGTGTCAAAATCTTAAATTAAAATAAATTAAGCTTTCAGTGGCTTTAATATAATAGGTCTTGACCTATGAAGTTGAAGATTTTTCAAATCTAGTCTTTCAGATTTAATTATCTGTGGATTGGCGAGCAATTCGAATTTCAAATAAATTTTATTCCAGGGCCCTGTAATTAATCAGTCATTTGTAATTTGTTTTGGATAGTGTTTTTGAAATTGAGGTAGTTTTTTGGCGCCATGGATAACCTGAAAATGCCTACAAATTCCAAATATGAGTTCCTACGTGGAAATATCGCTGTGCAAACAACAAGCAACATTACCGACGTGTACGAGTCTAATACTGCTTGTATAAACATGTTCCATTATTGGTTCAATCGTTTTATATCTGGAAATTATGAATTAAAGAACGAGCCTCGCGGTCAGCCGGTAACTATAGTCGACAATGACGAATTGAAGGCGATAGTGGAATCGGATCCAACTCAATCCACGGCTGAGCTTGCAGCGCGCTTTGGAGTTAGAGTTACAATAACGTTGAAGCACTTGCGTCAAATCGGCAAGATAAGTGAGTGCCACAGGAACTAAGCGACCATCAGCGAGACTTACGTGTCGAAGTATGCATAACACTACTGAATCGGCATAGAAATAAGGCAATTGTAAATCGGATTGTTACGTGCGATGAAAAGTGGATCCTGTACGACATCCGTAAGCGTCTCAATGGGTGGACTTGGTACAGCACCTAATCAGAGGCCTAAAAAAGATTACCTATGGGAAGATGATGGTGACTATCTGGTAGACCAGTGCTGGACTTGTACATCACAGCTACTTACCTAATGTCTATGTCCTAATGTCTATTGCTAAGAATTGCAAACAATGATGGAGAAGCTCGCAATTCAGCAACCAAGACTGGTCAATCGCTCGTCCCCATTTTCTCAACGAACAACACACGAGCTCACACTTAACGACAGACCATCGCAAAGCTACAAGAGTTACAGCTGGAAGCTCTCTGTCACCCACCGGATTCACCGTACCTCAACAGATTTCTACTTCTTCAAATTTGGTCAATTTTTAAGTTGGAAAAAATTCATCACCCGAGAGGCAGTCCAAAAAGCTTTCGCTGACTTTATCGTCTCCTGGACAGACTTCTAAAGACTTTTACAGTAAAGGGATAAACAAAACTGCCACCAAAATGGCAAAATTGGATAGATGATTCGGGCCAGTACCACAGATTAGATTAGATAAATAAAAATTATAAATTCTCCAACTTCATAGGTCTTATACTTCACAAGTCCATAGACACCGTAAAATTTACGGGGTTTTCAGGACCACATCCAAATCTTTTCTGGTGGGTCTGCATAAGTCGTCTGGTGAGGGTAGTTTGTTTTATGTTAGGCCTTGCAATATGGATGTAAATGTGTTTATGTGACTCTCATAACTCATTCGGTCATTAGGGTGATTTCGTTCCGGTTATTCAACTGTCATATTTTTAAGTGATTTTCAATTGTACTACTGACGTTTAAAAGTGCACTGTGAAAAAGCCTTTCTTTGGCGGAGTGGAAAATCCTTTTGGATGTGTTAATGGTATGTTGGTATTTACACTAAAAACCACCCCGACGGTCACTTAGCCTTAAACCCCTCTAAATAAAGTATATTTCTATTTAGATAACGATATTTAAATATATTTCTCCAATTTTTATTTAAGTTTAGTGTTTAGTAAAGTACTAAAAATGTACTTCGTGCCAGACAATTCGCAAGTATAATGAATAGAGTTGACCTTGTTTTTCATTAAGTATCATAAACTAATTTTCAATCGCCAGTAATAAATTAGAGCCAGTTAAAATTAGTAAGAACATACAGAGGATCGCACAATCGCTCGGAGCAAGAATAGTACGCAATTGTAAGAGTGTACTTACTGATCATTTTTCTTCTTGGCACCCATTTAATTATTAATGTATTATGTAGTTCACTTTTGTAAAAAGCGTCCGTCTTGTGTTAAGACCAAGACCACTTTAAAAACTATCCTCCGTCTTTCAAAGACGTGATCTGAATGCCGTCTAGTAAGTCATCATTTATAAAACACCACGATACATGAATAGTTTGCATAGAGATTAATTTTCTAGTATACATCCGTTATTTGCTACAGATTGTTAATCTCATTGCTCTTAGTTTTATTACCCATTTTTTATTAACTCATCATGTCCGGGGTACCCTTTTTTAAATATTTCATTCGTTTCAATTTTAACAAATAACAATGGTTTACATGATATTGAGTTCCTCCTTTAGTCCGTAAGATTCAGGTGCAGGTCGTGGAAATTAGAGCAATTTTTTGTATATTTTTCATGACCATCTGGTAAGCTTGGAGTTTATTTAATTATTTAGAGTAAGTACTCGTACATCAACGATTGGCACACCAATTATATAAAAATTGCAGCTCTGTAGAACGGGTGTCATGCCCCCTCCAACACAAAGGGAGAATCCTCCGACTAGGCAAGGTGATCCATGTTTGGCGGGCCGTTAGAGGCCGGGCGGTTAGATGTTGGGCAGTTGTATATATGCTAATCGGCTTGAGAATAATTTATATCGCGATACACGATTACTTTTTACTTTAGTTTTACAGTATAAATCAATTGATTAAAATGCATTTAAAGAAAAATAAAGTGAGACCATTAATTGTCTTCTAACAACATTTTTCGTCCGTCTGCAATAGATAACAGCGTTTTACAGTATTGTTAAACCGAGACTACGAAAATAGCGATATTTTTACATATATTAATTTGGTTACATTAAACTACCAACCGGGTTGATAAGGGAAATGCTACTAAGGTTCGATCTAGACACCAATATTGCGAAAGTAATTATTGTCGTTTCGTTCTAATTTTTGCTGTTTTTGGGTGCCTTTTAAGCAAGTAATGCCTGTGTTAGGAGACTACGGCTCTTCCATAACCAAATATCCAGACGTAGGTAATGTAATGCATTATTTATGTTCATCGTATATGTAATTGCAGCATCAGCATCAGATCCAGTATTGATAATTATAGATTTAAAAATTTTCGTAATTATCTACTCATTTCAAACATATCTTACACTAAAATAGTGAATTAAATCCTTTTAAAAAAATAATTGAACCGACTTCAAACAATACTGACAAAGAGTACTAAAAATAAAATTATAAATTACAAATCTAAGTAAAAGATCTATAATAGGTACCCCTTAATATACAACAGGTAACGTTTATAATAGCAATAGTCCCTTCTAGTCTACTAAACCGATATTAATACATGATATGACATTACATAGGTTCGTCTTATGGACGATTTTAATTTTTAAATTTATCATATAAAACACTCATTTTAGCTAAGTAAGTGCAGCTCTACTGCCTCTTTAGTTACAGCCTTAAGGTGCAAATATATTCATCCATAGGAAAGAAAAGGGAAAAGTGTCTGTTTGTCATGTCAAAATAAAAGGTATTTTTCATGCTGACACGGTTATTTGCACAATACCTGTGCCTAAAAACCAGTTTTAAATTTTTTTTGTCTGTCTGTCTTTCTTTCTTTCTGTCTGTTTATTCCGGGTGATCTTCAAAACGGCTTCCGATTAAGATAATATTTTGATCACATCACAGCCTTTAATAGTCTATACAACGCTGGCCAGACGGGTTGGTATAAGGTTTGTGTCAAGTTTTCATTCTTTTTGCAGTAAAAGTTAGTTATGATGTAATACAAGATTAAAAAGTTCTAGAAACGGACAAAAGGCACTCACTAATTAATAAAATTGAATATCGAACTTGAACATAACATAACCCTACATGATAGATAAGCGTACATAAAAACCCTCAAACTTAAAAGGTCAATTTTTTTAAATGTTAATAATTTGATTTATAATCATTCACAAACTACTCCCAATATATTTTCACTCTTTGATTATCTTGGTATACATTAAATTATACAGCAGTGAGTGAGGAATGATGACGGAAGAAAAGGATGAAGAAGTTGAAAGGATGAGGGAAGAGCGAATTACTAAAATAATTCTCCTGTAAGTGGGTAATCCGGTGTTGGCAGGCGTCGAAAGAGTTACGTACTAATTAAATTGGTAGTGTACTGCAGTGCTGTTCTCTAAGGAAACTTTACGTACAGCGCTGCCACAGCATCGATTTCAATCTAAGTTAGTTGCTAACGCTGTGGCGGCGCTGTAGCGTCCAATTTCAAACGAACCTAGTTCAAATTTTGACTCTGTACGCAAGGCTGTTCATTTAGAGAATAGCACTGCTGAAGAAGGGCCTAGTTAAAAGCAACCGTAACCGACGAACGTGTATAAAAGGCTTGATGGATGTTGAAGTTCTATCGTCCCTATCTGCTTTGAAACCGGCCGGCGTGATATTTTGCCAATATAAATTAATTAGGGGACTGGCAGAATAAGTTATATTGATGGGTGATGATAGAATTACATATTTCTTAAACGTGTTTTATGGCTTAATACCGTTTTATTTTTTAACCTAGTTACCGCAGTCAATAATGTTTTTGAATAATAGTGATAAGAGTAGTAGAGTAGTAGTATAATAGTGTAAGTGCTGAAAGAACTGGTTAATTTTGTGTAAGTTAGTATGGCTGCATTTAAAGCCAGTGGGCGCAAAAAATTTAAATAAAAACACCAAATAAATTTACTCTAAAATTATTTTAAAAGCCAAAACCTCCTTTCCTTTTTCCAGCTGTGGACTATTTTAGGTTTTTTGTGAGACGTTTTATTTCATTTGAAAAATCCATTGAATCCTTACGTTTACCTGCCTAAGCGAGCTTAAAATAATATAAAAATAAATTATCATTTTCAGTAACTTAAAGAATTATTGATTTCCCCTTTAAATAACAATGACACATAGAAAATCAGTTCTGCTTTATTATTTTAAACGGTACAAGAAATTTTTTTTTTGTTTGTATTTTTTGGGCCCAAATTTTGAGTATTTTATTTGAAAAAAGGGGGGATAGATCAAAAACTACCCTTTAATTGGTTTAAAAAGGGGCAGCGTAAAATAACTAATACAAATAATAAAAAAATTGTTTTGAACCCCCACAAATAAATCCCTGAGTCAGCCAAATTTTATAAAAAGGACCAAGGGAGGGGTTTAAAACCAAAAACCCTCAGCATCCTCCCCTAAACAAGGGCCTATCGCAGGGCCAATGCTGGGCATAGGCCTCTCCCATTACAAGCTACCCTTTGACGTTTTTGGCAACAAAACAAACCAAAATCAAATAATAGACTTTTTTTGTTTTATTTTTCCAAAAGGGGTTAGGATTTGAACCCCGCAGGAAACATGTCACCCCCCTAGGGGAAATACTAATTTCATCAATCAAAATCATCTATTCTTAAAAACATAATTTAAAAAATTTCGTACCCAAAAGTTTTGCTTGGTCCCATACCCAAAGGACAAAATTTGGGGTTACAAACCCAAAAAAGAACGCAGAGATTTTTTTATGGTTTTTCATTTTAAAACCCCTTCTTTTTAACCTTATTTTTTAGGCATTCTAAACCCTAAATTAATAAAAAAATCTTCCCTAACATTGCAAATAGTACAGTTAGGTTGAGGATTTTTTTTCATTATATATGTGAAGCTATTTAAGGGCATATGCCCGCGTCAGTTTTAATTAATTTTACTATGTCATAAGCTATTGGGGCTCCTCGAATACCTGACGTGCATCGCAACAAATGCTTTAGTGAAGTTTCGAGTCAGTAAATATTACGAAATTTCCAGTTTTAAACGAATCATTTGCATTATGCATTTTATTTATAATAACTTAATGCACAAGTTGCCCACAGGCGGACTTAATGCCCTATGCATTCTCTACCAGTCGACCTTCGGGTGATGTAAGAAAAATGATGCGATTGGTGCAAGAGACTGAAGAATTGATGAAGTTGGAAGTATGAGGGGGACATAGAAGAAGCATATTATTCGTTGACCACCAAACGCAAGAATTGATTTCGGATTATTTGTAATTTAATGAGATGAGTATTACTACTTGCAGCGTAAAGATGGCTGCCATAATCTAGCCTATTTCTGATTAGGGCTTAAGTATAAACGTCTTAAATATATAGGATAAACACCCCATTGACCACCGGATAATAGTTTAAATATATTTGAATAAGCTGTTTTTTTGCCTAATCTCATCAATGTGCTTCGATCACCTCAGCCCTCTATCCAACCACATACCCAGATATTTAATGTTATACATAGTGTCGAGCAGGATAGCACCTATAGTCAAAGAAACAGGTTCTTTTAAAGAACCCTGTTTTAAAAAACACAAAAGCAAAGTTGTGTTTTTTAAAACAGGCTATTTAAGATAACCTGTTTTAAAAACACAAACTTTGCTTTTTTAAAGGTGAAATGTTTAGACCCAATGTCTTGAAACATCAGATTGACAGAATTTAAAGCTACTTGATTTTTTTTCGAAATGTCTGTAATTTTTTTACCTGAAGAAAATATAGTACAATCATCAGCATATTGTGAAATAAATACACTAGGAAAGTTTATTGAGTGACAAATTTTTATAGTGATAATATTAAATAATAATAAAGATAAAGGATCTCCTTGGGCAAAGCCGTAGCTTGTTGCTCGAGAAATGTTTAAATCCTCAACTTTGACTTGGAGAATTCCTTTCTTAAAGAAATTCCATAGATAGTTACAAATTCTAGATCCAACAACGACATCGTTCATAATTTTCACAAGGCAAGTTAACATCTACATTATTATGGCGTTGTCAAGATCTAAAAAGCAGCCTACGGTGGCAAACCTATCTGAATTCTAGATGTCAGATAGAGATTATCCAGGAGTAGAGTGACATTTTCTAAATCCAGTCGTATTCTTAGATATAAATTTATAGCTTATAATGTACCATTCTAATCTGTTGAGTTAAATGCATTGAAAGACAAACAATACAAACAAGTTGCACA